AATTAATATTGTTAAAGTTTATTATCATTATTATTATTCTATATAATTTACTGAGAATTATATGATAAATGTTTTATAATAGCTGCACAATCAGAAGGTATTTCCAACACTGATAGTGTTGGTACACATAGTGACATTTCTGGGCATACTACAATCTCAGGGAGGCCCAGAATGGATGTGGCTTGTGTGTTAGATCTACAACAATCAGAAGATTTAGCTCAAAGAAGAAGAGCTTTGGAAGAAGTTAGGCAGGCATGCAATCTTGTGAATTTTAATATGCACCATATTCAGGTAGAAATTTGTTCCATTACTGAAACTTATATAACTCAATTTTAAATCCATAAATAGCCTGCTTCATTGATTTCGCAGTTTGCAAAGTTGGATTTTGGAGAGACAAAAGTACTGGATACATTCTACAATGCAGATGTAGCTATTGTAGACTTAAGTATTCAGGTGCAACAGTGTGCCTTGTTTTATCACCTTGGTGTTAGAGAAAGTTTTAGCATGAAAGAAAATATTTTGTTGTATAATGATATAGACACAGAGGCAACCATCAGACTGAAGGTATATTTGTATAGTTTTAATATATTTCATTGAAAAATCATCTTTTAACATAAAACTTTATAATGTGCAGTTATCTTGTGGCAGCTATACATTTGTTTCATATCGTGTGCTAGAATGTGGTTCATGTGTTGCAACAAAACCAACTACTACTAGAATTACAGGAGAAGAAGCAATAGATCCAAGGCAACATCTTACTTTAAAGCTTAAAAAATTATTCCAAGATGTTCAAATACAATCTAAGTATGTTTTGACTTTCATTGTTATTATATGCTCCTTATGTAGATAAGAAAGGAAAACATTCTTTGTTTTAATTACAGTGAGGCCAGCTACTTAAGACCACTTGATAGTTAAGGAAATAAACAGTGCTAATATTTTATTTATTGTATTTTTCGTATACTAAACTCATATGAAATACATTTTGAAGTATGTTATACCATAATATCGCAATAATTTTATTTATAACGCTATAAACAACAAATATTTTTAACATTTTCTCAGATTAGGTCGTTATAACAGCGGACAACTACTTAAGATCAAATCAGACTAATGCTATAAATACAAGTAAAATTAATGAAACTTGGTAATTGCGGAAAAATAAAACTTAGAAAGTAGGTAGTAACGCGTTGCACTCCCTTTTTATCGTATCACTTCTTCACAAGAAGTGGCATAGACTCAATCAAACGACGACAACGCTCGACTGGAATATTATTCCACCCTTCTTGAATAACAGCATACAGTTCGTTTCAATTTTTGGGCTTTTTATATATTTTATATTTGTCCACATCAATCTGTAGCATCTCAATAGGATTGAGGTCTGGAGATTGAGAAGGCCATGGTAAAATGTTTACATTTTGCTGACTTAAAAATTGTTTAACCCTATAGGCCACGTGTTTCGGGTCATTGTCAGTTTGCAAAATCCAGTAGCTGGCCACCACTGTATGTCATGTTGAGGAAGATATTTTCTTATCTTATCATTTTGTACATAAAATTGAGTTCAATGCATTTGCTGTACAATTATGGAATTTTACTGGAAGACATGTAATGAACTTGAACTTATTATACTATACCTATTTGATTTTTATAGAGCACATATGAAAGAAACGTTCCTAGCGGATTTACGAAAAGCACGCGAAACGTATTCGGGAGAAGAACTTTCTAAAGCGCTGAAGAACATGCGTAAACGCTTAGATGATCCAAACGTTTTGTCTGGAGAAGTTGTTTTGAATGTCCTCATCTCCTTCCGTGATATACAGGTAACACAGGAGTGTGTTTTGTTTAAAAAAATACTTTATTCGCTAATTATTTTTAACAATTACTAGGACTACGATGCAATGGTACAATTAGTCGATGATCTGAGAACGATTCTGACTCATAAAAATTACACCAATACTCCGGCTATTCGGTACTTATACGCGTTCGCGTTAAATCGACGAAATAAAGAGGGGGATAGGGAAATGGCGTTAAAAGTTATAGAGACAGCATTGGAGAAGAAAGAGAACCATGTTCCTGATATGTTATGTCTGTGTGGAAGAATAAATAAGGATAAATTCGTAGAAAGTAGGCACACCGACGAAGAAAGTTTAAAAAATGCAATTCATTGGTATAGGAAAGGTTTTGAGGTACATTATCATCTGTATCATTTGTATCATTTTTCAGTAGAGAAAATCTTTAAATTACATACTTCTTCTTAATTCTAATTGCTGTCTCTAGGTCCAGCCAAATGAATATGCTGGAATAAACCTCGCCACGTTACTAGTTATAGCAGGAAACGAATTTTCGAAAAGTGAGGAGTTGCAACACATAGGCATGGTACTGAATAATCTCATTGGCAAGAAAGGCAGTTTATCGAGTTTAAAGGATTATTGGGATGTAGCCACGTTCTTTGAGATCAGTGTACTGGCTGAGGATTATTCGAAAGCAATTCAAGCCGCCGAGTGTATGTTTAAACTGAAGCCGCCAAACTGGTATGTACCAGTCAGGACTGCAGTATTGTCAATTGATGAAGTAGTAGATACACTGGATATTAATGATATCTCTTATTAAATAGGTACCTGAAATCGACAATAGGGAACATATCGCTGATAGATAGGTTTCGTAAAAAGAATGAGGAAGCTGAGGTTTCGCCAGAGGAACAAATATTTAGTTTTTGGATGGACTACTTTGTCGAAGCAGCAAAAGCGGAAGTTGGAGATAATATACGGTTTCCAGTAAGTTGATAAATGGAATCGTTCTACAAAGGATCCAGTTTCCAATTCGGGAGACTATGGCTTATAATATTGTGTTACCAATCCAGCTTACTTCTGTACATTTTGGGTCAAAGTAAGAACAATATAAAACTGCTCTTAGTGCAGGTTCTTAGACTGACTATTATATTGAATCAAATTTCTATTATGATCCCATCCAATGTGAAAGATGTATTAGTCACTGACCTTTTGATTTCAGCTATTAGTGCTGGAACCAACGAAGATCTTCATGCCGAGCTATGTAAACGTTAACCTCGGAGCGGAAGAAAAATCTGTACAGATTTGGAATTTGTGCTTGGACAATATGAAGAACAATTGCAAACAAGTTCACGATTGGTTGTTTACCGCGAACATGATACGTAGCGTAAGCTTGTACAAAAGAGACGAACGCTGTCTTTTTTTGTATGTCCATCAGAACTCTGACGATTTCCAAATGTATTTCCCGTCGGTTCAATGCAGACAAAGATTTTATGATTTAATCTTGGAAATGACCAGAGATCAAGAGGGTATGGTTACAGATTTAGATGCGTACATGACTGACGACAGAATGAAGGTGTGTAAATATTTTTTTGATTAATAATTATCTTTGATGAAATTTACTTTATCAATATTTGTTTATTAATAGTTCGAGTATGAATTGGATGATCAAAACAAACGAATAATACTCGGTAAGGGTACATACGGAGTCGTCTATGCTGCTCGTGATCTGAACACTCAAGTTAGAATTGCTGTCAAAGAAATACGCGAACGGAATCTGGGAGATGTGCAACCTTTACACGAAGAGATTAAATTACACAGTCAACTGAGGCATAGAAATATCGTACAATATCTGGGATCTGTGAGCGAAGATGGATACTTCAAAATATTTATGGAGCAAGTTCCTGGAGGTAAATGAAAAAAAGTAAAAGAATTTAAGGAGGAACTATATGTATTTATTGTTCTTTTACTTCTTTAGGAAGCTTATCAGCTTTACTGAGATCAAAATGGGGCCCTTTAAAGGAAAATGAATCTACAATTGCTTACTACACTAAACAAATCCTTGAAGGTCTTAAGTATCTCCATGATCAAAAAATTGTTCATCGAGATATCAAAGGTATAATATAATATATAAAAATTGTATTTATGCAGACTTCAGTATTTTCATTTTAATTATTACTTGTAGGTGATAATGTTTTAGTAAACACGTACAGTGGGGTGGTAAAGATTTCAGACTTCGGTATGTCAAAACGACTGGCCGGTTTATGCCCGAGTACAGAAACATTTACTGGAACATTACAATATATGGCACCGGAAGTCATCGACAAGGGACAACGTGGATACGGTGCTCCTGTAAGTTACATTTTTCGTATATACTTTTCTTTATTCCTAAAAGGAAAATCATAAATTGTTATAATTTACAATGTAGGCAGACATTTGGTCCTTGGGTTGTACAATAGTTGAAATGGCAACTGGTAAACCACCGTTTATTGAACTGGGATCCCCTCAAGCTGCAGTTTTTAAGGTAATAAATACGAACATTACATTAGGTAAAATGTAATTTCGAATATATTTTAAAAGTAATTTTTTAAAAGGTTGGATATTACAAAATACATCCCGAAATACCATCGGAGCTATCTGAAAGAGCAAAGAATTTTATACTGCGTTGCTTCGAACCAAACCCGGACATTAGAGCATCGGCAGCTGAATTATTAGAAGATCCATTTCTGAACGAGTATGTGATGCATATAAATGAATTGCAACATACATAAGTATATATGTGATAATGTTTTTTTTTATATGCGTAGAAAAAAGAAGAGCAATCGATTAGTGGCGCCACCTGATTTTAGTAGAAGTATATCAGTACCTGCGGACCGGCTCGAACGCTTAGGAAAATCAGATAAAACGAACAATAACCATATTGTTTCTGCTTCTCCTATGCAGACATCGCAATCCGATGACAGGTAACGCAAACATTTTATTCATTTCAATGTATAACTGTGCGAATAGTCATGTTGTTTCAATTTGTTTATAAACAGTTGCATTTTTGTTGCATAGTTGTTTAAAACGACTTCGTACTTTTGTTTTGTCTTAATCAATGTTATTCAATGAAATTTATAACAGTGATATAACGAATAGTATTTTTTTTCGAATAATAAATCTGAATACGTTGTACGCAATGTATTTGAACGCGTGGTTTGCGCTTGAAATTTTTTTTGTATATAATTTAATTTTTTTATTGCGTTATTAAATTCCTTTACGATGAAATATAATCAAAAAGTGTTACGTACAGTGGAGGGTTGACAAAGTCAAGCCCGCTGAGGGAGCGCAGTCCAGCACACCTTCTGTCTCCCATCAGAATGCCCACTGCAACCCTTTCTTTTAACAGGTATGGTACTAACGTTATAGATCAGGGGTGGCCATAGCGCGGCTCTTATGCAAATAAAATGTATGTATGAAATATGGCTGACCGGGGGGAGGGAAGATCTGTGGGTAAACTTTGAAAAATTGAACTGATTTTTCAGTTTCTCATTGTTTGTTTTGTTATCAAAGATAAATAAATGGCTCTTTCAAATATTTCTTCCTGAAATGTGGCTTCCAAAGGTAGTGTAGCTGGCCATCCCTGTTATAAACGATTAAATCTGTCCATAAAAAATGTAGTAAATAATAGTAATTTGTATTATGGATAAAAAAAATTTATCTGAAATTAAATAAGAAGTTAATCGTTATTAACACTAGTTAGATCGTATAGTTGATTAATATTTGCGCGATGCTTTGTGTTGCTAAACGTTCATGTGTTGTGGGCAATGGAGCTTCCTGTTTGTAATCGTAATATGTGTAATTCATTATATCTTATAATATAACAAGGAGAAAGAGTATGACCTCTATGCTATTTTAATTTCTCTTGTATCGAGTTCGAGCTAATGATACTGTGAACTGAAGCTTAGTGTACTAAATGAGAGTACAACGTAAATGTATTGAAAACTTGACTTATGTAACACTATTGGTATACCTTTCAATTACATATTCTTTAGACTTTTTTTCAAACACTGTTCAGAATATATTCATAACTTTAATAATTGTCTATATGTATTCAGGTTTATTTAGAACATTTACCAGGAAATATTCTTGCCCTTATAACACATGCATAAATGTAAATGTAAAATTCAAAGTGTAAGGATGTAATTATAAATAATGTTTGGGAATAACTTTGTTTCTTCATATTTTCAGTACAATAGGCAATACACCGTCTATAGAGACAAGCGAAACCGACACAGCGGGAGCTTCAATGACTAGGAGAAGTTCCTCTGGCGGTTTACTCTCGCCAGAAGTTGAATTAGGAGGTGACAAATCATAACGAACTTCGTAATATATAAGAGGAACATTTCATTTTAATATACTATCTTGCTAACAGGTCAGCCGGGCCAGAAAACCGGCGAAGAACAGGAAGGTTTCTATTTGTTGAAAAAAGACAGTCAAAGAAGAATGACATTAACCAGAGTTCTTACTCAAGACGAGGCGAAGATTTGTGAAGTGTGGATGAGAGGAATACATCAAGCCGAGGGTGAAATTGTTTTGCAAATGGTAATTATTTTTTTTATTTGTATTAATGTAACGTACGTATTTTAAATAACATAAATCCCGTTGATTTTCAGAGTCATTTAGTGCTATTAATGCGTGCTTTGAGAGACTACATTGCGGAACAGAACCACGAAGTAATCGTGACGGCCATCAGAACGTTGAAAGAAGAACTAGACTTTGATTCCACTGCTATTAATCACCTTAATTTAGCTATTTATCTGTTTCAAACGGCGGTGAATGAAGTTCTACGAATGCATAGCATAAAACCTCATTGGATGTTTGCCTTGGATAATTTAGTGAGAAATGCAGTTCAAGCCGCCATCACTGTACTCTCTCCTGGTAATACTGCAACGTATTTTTTTTTTCACAAAATAATATTTTTGAAATTATTTTTATAAGCTAGATTCACACGTTTCCGCGTTGTCTGGTGATGTACCAGATGTGTATTGTATACACATGTCAAGTGTAGTACATGTGGAGATGGGGCGTATCATCGTGTCAACTCTAAAAATATCTCAAGGGAAGTCATCACCAGTAATAAGGGATCTCTTGTGAATCTAGACTTCAGTGAGCAAGTCACTGCTTTTCATGAGTGTATACCGAGAAACCACTTTGAAACGAGCCGTGGCTCTTCATATATCATTTACAGAACTCGGTGCCAATCTACTTGGTCAAGAACGCGTGCAATCTGGCGGTCAAGGCCCAGAGGAAGGTTCGACGTCCGGTGTGTCGACAGTAAATTCTGTGAAATCTCAGAAAACTGGTGATTCCGTGGACAATAAGTACTGGAAAGAGTACCGAGATCAAATGGGGGCTATAAAAATGGAGAATATGAAATTGCTTCAAGAATTAATCGAAAGTCAAAAGTCGTATCAAACATTATTGCAGCAGGTTCTTGAAGAGCAAAGGTCTCAGGTTAATACTTTGACGCGACTTTGCGAGAATATTAACAAACGAACTATGAGACAAGAATCAGGGTAAGATTCTATTCACTTTTTTTTTTTTTACATTCAGATACAGATAAATATGTTATAGTTTCTCTGAATTTTTTACTTTTTATAGTTACAATTCGTCGATATCTGGAAATATAGCACAACAGCCAATTTCATTGATTGTTAGTGATACACCTTCTAGTACAATTTCATGTACCGATCAGGCTCTTGTTGAGTGGTTACAAAACCTTCAAATAGACGACGTGTCAATTGAAAGGGTAAGTATTGTGATTTACATTATTGTATTTCTATTGATTACTATTATTTCTTATAGTTTTTGTACGAGCAATACACATTGGAAGATGTCTTGAATTTCCTTACACGCGAAGATATTCGCAGACTTAATCTCAGGTAAATATAAAGGGTTTTTTTTTACATTATTTCAGGTTAATATTTGACATATTTTTTGTTTGTTTAGAGGTGGAATTGAATTAAGGATATGGAAAGCTATACAGAAGCATCAACAAAGTGATAATTAAATTGTGGTTTGAAAAGTATGCCACATTGGGATTGATTTTTAAGCGAATGGTGAACTCCATGCAGGGTAAAATACTTGTTGAACAAAGCTGCCACGAAACAGTAACGGCCAATGAGAGCAAAGTTACTAGATAATTCGAATCGAATGAGATACCTGTGTCGTTTGTTAAAATACTACCCGTGAAGTCAATCTGCACGGAAAGTTTTAAATGCACAATGATATTATTAGTTTATCTCGTAGTTCCTAAATATAGAGTATTTACTAGTTGCAAGACAGGTGTGTACATATAACAAATTTTGCATATATATATTGATTCGTTTTAATATGAATTTGTTCAAACTCTTGAAAGTATATTTAACGATAATAAATTAAATGTTGTATAGAAATTAGTATTACCACGTTGAGATAACTATACACACACACACACACAGTGGTTATATGCAAAGTTTGTATATTTCGAGATCATCAATTTCACTCGACTTGTTAATCTAGAATATCGATCTTGCCAAGTTTGACAGCATATGCAATAATTGTTATTTATCTAAATGTTAAAAAAAAAAAGTTCAGTAATTCAATCTATTCGTCATGTCCACGTGAATTTGACGTAACTGCCAGAGTAAAACTGATATTACTGAGATATGAAATATGTGCACATGTAGAAAGATGCCTTGTATTTTCGTGTTCTATGAATCATTGTTGCCAATGCACGTGATGTGTTTCGCTTCACTATGCATCGTTACAATTTGAGTCGCGCGAAATTCGTACAAACACAATGAAGAAGAATGTCGAACGATCGTTTATCCTTTATTCTGCATAATCATCAAAAGCGCGACAAGTGTAGTGCCTTACAAAACCAGTGTAACAGTACAAGTGAAGATGTTTATTACCTGCAAACGATGAACGTTTTTGTTGTTGGTAGTTCTCTATATATATATATATTTCTCAAGAAAGGATTTATGTAAGCTTAAGTCTTCCTAGATACGCACGGAAACATTTATTATAAAAAAAAGAAGAAAAGAGAAAAAAAAAAGAGTTCTTGCATAATATATATGGTAGTTGTGTATATATATAAAGTGCTTCTTATTAGTTCGTAGTAGAGATTTGCAATTAATCGTGCGCCTAAAATTTTACGAGATTTTTGTAGATACGAGTTTTTATATAACAGTGGCAGATTTCATGCTTTGTACGCGATCTTTTTTTTCCCCTCTCGTGGGAAACTCATGCTTCCTTTATACACGATTTTTCTGATACTCTTCCATTTCAACTTCCATTGCAACGATGCAGCATAATTACGCCGGTCAATTGAAATAAGTGCCTAATTCACGTCAGGGAATACACATGACAGTGTTTTCAATGCAATTACATCAAAATAATCAGGGGATCAACCGTTGCTTTCTATATTTCAACTGCCAAATACGCTGTATATTAAATTTACTTTAAAATACAACATTATCTTAGATACATAAATCGACACTTGATACTAAATCCCCTAATTATTCGGATCAACATTTTCCCGTCAAACAAGAAAAGAGCCTTAATGAAATATCACCTGCCAGGATGTTCCAGTTGCCTCCAAGTGTTCGCGTTTGAACAAGTTAGCCTTGCCTCGAACGCGAATATCTCGCTTAATCGTTAAGAATATTTTCACACTGCTGTTTTCATTCACTGTACTCGATAAGACTAATTATCCTCGTTACCTTAACAGGGCTGAAATTTGTAATAAAGGTTCCAGCAGCAAACAGACAAACCATGTTTCTCTTCTAATTTACATCGAACAACCCCAGTCTCTCTTCAGTCTCCAGTTCCCTTGGTCCAAAAAAGAAAAAAAAAGGGAAAAAGTGGTGGCGTTTAATTGAAATCGAAAGTAAACGAAGATTGCCTGAGCGATTCCCGGAGGCGAAAGGGTCGAGAGATCGAAGGGGGAAGAAGAGACGAGTACGTGATCGGTTGGAGGGGTCTCGATCGTCGTTTCTGACAGTTCTCCATTGATATGGATGAGGCGTTCTCTCTATCCGGTCGCGATGCTCCGTTTAAAAGATAAGCCAAATAGATTCGCAGCTCATTGACAGAGGAGGAGGATCCTCCTCTGTCTCTCCCTACGCTGTCTTCTCCGTCTCTTTCCTAGAGATTATTCCAGTGATACGATCTGGTTTTCTCGCCGAACGGGGATAGAGAAAAAGCGTCATCGTGCTTTCATCACGCGTGATCTCCTCCCTTCTCTCCCTCTCGATTTCCTTTTCGTTGCGTTCTCGTTCGTAATTGGTGGGAAGAGCGAGAGAGAAAGAAAAAATAGAGAAGGAAAGTTTTTATAGGATGGAAATGGTTAGAAGGGAGTTGGAAAAATTTTTGCAGGAAAATGAATGCAACCCGCGGCGTAAAATTGCAAAAGTTTCGGACACTCTCTGCCACTCAATGACGAACGAGGGTTGGACCTATTCATTTGCACTACAATAAAGCCCGCGGCTTATAAACGCGCGCGCCCCAGCAGCTCCAACTAGCCGCTTATTTTCCACCTCCGTCCCTTTTATTTATTTTTCTTTTTATTTCCTTCTCTCTCGTTGCGACTCTCCACCGACCGTCGTTCCACGGTACGCATTAGCACGCGTGCGTGGAATTATTTAGGTGGTGCATCGTGCACGTGAGCGGCATTTTTTCGAGGAGTTTTTCTTTTTCTCTCTCTCTCTCCCTAGTTTTTAAACCCTTTTCTGCTGTATTTCGTACGAGTGGAATGTATTTGTCCGATTTCGTTGGACGAGGAGAGGGTGAAATAGGAGTAGTCTCTAATGTCGCCTTACTTGAGACGGCGAAACGTTCCACCGGCGGGGGGTTTATCATTAGCAACTCGATGAAACGGAAGTCTCGCAGAGGGGGAGAGTAGAGAGGAACTAGCGATCGGTCGGTTCTTTGCAGACATAAATGTTAATGTTCCTTTGTCGGGCTTCCGCATATATTACCGGAGGTGCACGTGAAATTCGCGGAATTTCACGAGAGTGAAATTCACGGTTAAGTGATTCGATTGTGTGATTCCCGGCGTAGGGTGGCTTTCTTTGGAAGGGTTACCGGTTAATATTCTCCCGCGGTTCTGTTTCATTTTTATTCCTCGTATAAATTTCTAACGATTTGACTACGATGTGAATTTTGATAAGATTTATCTTGGATGTACTTTTATATTCTTTTGTATTATTTCACTTTGTGTTGGTTAGTTTGAAGAGAAATTTACATTTAGTTGGAATCGTGCGTATATATTTGCTCTAGTTGATAACGAAGGAATGAAAAGCGTGCACCGAATCAGCATTAAATCAGCTTCCATCGGCTTTAAAGGGGAGAACTCGGTAGTGGTAATTTCACGGGATGGATGGACGAGGATGGTAGCACCGTCGAAATCGCAAATAAAGCGGCGCAAACATTCGGCGTCCCGACGCAATCGTGGCCCCGGCTCGAACCGGAAGGGTTGTCCGCCATCGGATCGGGATACAAATCCCAGGCTGTCTGGCCGGCTTTCTGCCGTTTCTCCCTCGGTCTCTCCCTCACTCTGTTTTTCTCCCTTACTCTCTCTCTCTTTTTCCTCTTTTTTTCCTTCTCTCCTCCTTTCTCTCTCCTTTTCTATATTTCCTCTCCTCTCTCTCTTTCCCAATATCTCTTCTCCCTCTCCCCCCTTTTCCCTTTACCTTTTAATTAACTAACTGCGCCCGTGGAGTAACTAAAGAGGATCCGCGATTTTCGAAGCAGGAGGCTTTCAGCGCCGCCCGAAATAATCTATTTGCCCGAGTGAAAGGCTAAATAAGATTATCGCGTCAAGAAGAGCCAGAGAGAGAGAGAGAGAGAGAGTAGAAGTAGATAAAACGTGAAATCCTAATTTCTTTTTCATTATCCCTCCAACTAATGGTAATTCTTCTTTCCGTCGCCTCACGATTCTCTCCATTCGCAGGAAACGAATTCTCCCGAGAAATCAATTCCCTCTTTCGACTTTGTACAATTACCCTGAAACATCGTGCAACGTGCTTCCGATTGTTCCTCTCCATGAATAAGAAGGTACCTGTACTTTTTTTTTATCCCCAAATTCGACGTCTCGCGGTACGAATGGTCGCCGAGGAGAGGCAGACAGGGCAGAGGAAGTAGCGGGAAAGAAGGAGACGGTCGATGGGACGATTAATCTGGCCGGAAAGCGAAATCATCCTTTCCGGCCGCTTTCTTCGACGCAGACCGAGCGAAGAAGGAACTTATGAACGTCCTCTTCCCGGGGATTATGGGGAGAACAATGAAGGCTGACTCGCCGTCTCCTCGTTTTCACGGAGTGACACCTTGTTCCCCGGGACTAATTACTTTCGGCTTAAAATCCTTAATTTGTTGCTGAAAGGCCGGCGACGGGTCTCGTTCCCTGATAAGATCGTCCTCCGTGTCCCCTTGCTCCCTTTCCTCTCGCTGAAACACATTCAAAAAGATAATTCTTTCGGCGGGGAAAGAAGCTCGCGGTGGACGTCGTACGTTTCAATCTCACTTTTTCTTCCTTCCTTTTTCTTTTTTTTCGTAAATGAAAGACAGTCGAACAATAGGACAAAAAATCTTCAGAAATGCGAACCTTAAATTATTTTAATACGCTTCATTTTCCAACGTTGAGAAAAAGACAGGCGGAGAGAAGATTTTCGTTAATTATTCCATCGGTTTTAATAAACCTGAAAACTTCTCTTACCTACCAGAAATAAATTGATAGCAATTATCCAGGCTAATGCAGATCTGCATAAATTGCCATTTGCATATCAGCCAGGCAGAATTGCCCCTTTCCTCCTACTACTCTTCCCACCCCTAAGTAAGAAACCATAAAAGATGGGCCAGCTTTTGCAACCCCTTTACCCGTTACCCTCACGTTGCAATTACTCATCGAAACGACTTAATTAAATAGCACATAGTCCCTCCGTAGGTTGGTCGGGGAAACGAGCATGCGGGTCAGTTTGAGCCGGCGCGGCGGGACAAAAATGGTGGGTGGCACGGTGGAAAATTAGCCGCGCGGTTGGCAACTTCTGGCGAAGGAAGCATTGGTTCGATATTGAATCGCGTCTGCACCCTTTCTCTCGTCTCGTAACGTCCAACGT